TCTTGCATGGTGAAAAAATGAAATTATAGTCAGGTATCCATTCCCTTCAGGTCAAACAGGAAGGGGGTAAAGAGTTAAAGAAGCCTAAGTAGCTGCTGATGAGTGGTTTGGACTAGTTTTCAATGTTAACATATGAAAAGTACTTAAACTATTACTTTGGGAATAGCCCTAGTGCTTCTGAGACACGTGAGCACTACTATCTAATTCCTGCTCTACAAGGGGAAGACACTGCACTGTTACAACTAAAATTGAGACTGTTTATTTGTCTTTTTCTTACAGGAAACAGATTCGGGCTCTTCTAGGACAGTTTAGCCAGTCAGAGGCTTTGTTAATCTCATCTGGAGTTGAGCCAGAGACTCTAGATGGAGTTCTCTTGGATGCTGGCTGTTCTTCTATGCAATTTGATACACCTGAAAGAGGATTTTCCCTGCAGAAGGATGGACCTTTGGACATGAGGATGGATAATGACAGGTACCTGTTAATAAAATATTTCTCGTTGAAACTCAAAACCTTTGTGTTCAGCCACCTCCATGCATTTAATTTCCCCTTAAACTGAAGAATTCTCACCATTAAACCACATCTAATTTTGCACAAGTCTTTCTTTTGCCACAAAGCTTTTTTCGATCTTAATACTTAAAACCCTGGTTATTGTCTTTTCCTTCTTTGAAATAAGAGGAAAGTTCCAGTGATGAGTAGATAAACCAGTAATGTTTTTGTTAACTATACCATTAAAATTTTACATTTTTTGAGTGTGTGGTATACAGTTACAGGGACATCTTGTTTTCAGAGGCCTGTCTTTTCCTTGTTATTTCCACAGTTTCTCAGACTGTACTTGATCTACAGGCTCACAGCACTTTTCTGCAGTCTCTTTCCTTTTTTTGCCACAGTGACTTTTTGTGGAACCTTTGCTTGTGCACGTTCAGTTGCTCCCTCAGGAAAGAAGCAACCTCTCTCTTTTCTGCAATGGTCATCTGAAACAGTTACTTCTCTCTAAAAGGAGCATCATGTAAAATAAATAAATAAAATCCTATCCATTTTGTTTGCCAGTTGAAATCAGATAGCAAAATTGTTTTTAACACACTAGTATAATGTTGTCTACATGCCTGTAGATTTATTGTAAGATTCTTTCCTTAGTATTACAAGCTTCCTTTCACGTTGTGTAGGAGGCATATCAGGCTTACTTAATCATCAAATAAATAAATCATCTCTATTTAAATTAATAGAATTGTTGTGTAGCACATTCAAGAGCATGAAAATCAATGGTGGAATTATAATTTCTACTTATGTAGCGATTTTCATCTTCAAACTACCTAATGTATTTCTGTAGCATTGTGCTTTTTATATGAGCAGCCAAAGATCTCTGCTGTATAGATGATGGCAGTAATTGCATAATGTGTTACTGGGAGAACGAAAATTTTTCCTTTGTGTTTTTGATGAACCTGTAGTCTTAAGAAATGTCATTTGATCTTTTCATTGCTCGCCTACAGCTGATGGGAAGCCTCATTTCCTAAGGAATTATCTTAACACATTAATATTGAGTCTTAGCACAGCAAATTTCATACTTGCTTTTTCCAGTTTTGTGTAAAAAGCTCATGTGATCATATATGGAACAGGAGCATAAGAACAAAGGACACCTGTGGCATAACAAAAGCCTTACACTACAGTTGTTGCTATGATACTACTTGCCTCTGATTCCTAAGTTTTGTTATCTTTTGTAAGATACTGCAGGAGAGTAATAAATGCATGAAAAATATTCTGCACATTCATGTCTTTGTAGAAGGGACTTTATTAAGTAGGTTGGATGTTTTGTCAGATTAGTAAATCCATATATGGTGTTCATAGAATATCTTGAACGATTTCAATAGCAAAGGGTCAGAGATTTAAAAGAAATAAATGTATGGCTTACACTGTTTATATTGTAATAGTACCTGTCATTTGTAATATTAGGTCATTTCTATTCTCTCAGAATGGTATTTGGATATAAATTCTTATGCCTTATAGTGAAAAGTAAAGTTAAATTATTTTCATAAGCAATTGTTTTCATAACAGGAGATGTGAAAGAAAATATCCTTGAGATCAGTTCTGACTACAAAACAATATATAATGCAAGGTACTAAAACGAACCCATAAAGGGCAAGTTTGTATTCTAAAGCTGGCTAAATAAAAAGTCACACAGCATTTCCATTTTAATGTGATACTGAAATATACTTATTCTTGTCAACTCATTAAGCATAGTTTATGATAATACTTGGAAGTTTCAGCTGTTCTAATTGCTGTTAAGGAACAAACTCTGTTTCAAGTAGAAAGAAAAAGGATTTAAAAGGTGCAGGGTATATCTGTTTTCATAGAGTTGCTGTCTCTTATTTGAAAACCTCAAAGGTACTTGTATGCAGTGTGTGTGTTTGACTTTATGTCTCAATCCTATGAAGCTTCACCTCTTGTCAATGAAAACTGACGTCAGTGAACTAATTGGCTCTTCTTGTGCGTAGGTACCCTGACATGCCCACTGCTGCTGATGTTGTGAATGCTTTAGATCAACAGGCGCTTGCGTCCATACTGAGAACATACGGGGAGGAGAGGCACGCCAAGAAAATCGCTTCAGCCATCGTTCAGGCACGCAGCATATACCCCATCACCAGAACTCAGCAGCTTGCAAGCATTGTTGCAGGTACCCTCATTAATTCTTCACAGTGGCTGAGGAGAAAAAATATTAATCCCCAACGTCCCAGAGGGATCTATTTGTACTTGAAATCATGCAGGATCTAATCCTGCCTCTTCGGCTCTGATGTCAGCTCTTTCTTTTTTTTTTTAGTTCCCACTTTTTATCTTGTAGCTTGACAATTAGTTTAATAATAGATTTTACATGAAGTGATTTATCATTTTGCCAACCAAGTTGAAACACAATTGCTGAATGACAGCAGGCTAGGGAATTCTTTATCCCAGCTATTGATAACCCTTCAGATACCAGATACGTCATATACCTCTCTTAGTTTTAAATTTCTACATTTTAATATTATGAGGGGAAGTACTATGACACTTTCCAATTAAGAACAAAATCAGATCATTTCTGTCTGCTTAAAGAACCAGGAAGCAAAAAGTAAAGCAATACATAGCTTGCTTCACCTTGTGAATGCCAACTAGATCAGCCTGAAGCAACTATTGAAACACTTCATCTTACTTGCTCTTCACTGTAAACAACTGGAACAAAATGTAGTTAGGCAGGAACTGTGCTGACATCAAGAACCTTCATGTTTGTGTTCTCAAGTGAAAATTTTCAAGGAAAAATATAAGACAGAAATCCTGTTCCTGAACATAATAATATGTACTGTTGGGATATTTTTATTTTTTTTTGCCCAAGAAATGAAAATACTGGGTCTTGTCACAAATAAGTATAAAATGCTGACTCCTTTAAATGCAGCCCTTTAACATTTGCTAAAGAATAGTGTTAAACATTGTATCAGTATCCTGAAGACTTAAAATAAATGTATTAATAAAAATTTTTATTACTTAAACTGGAAGTTTAGGGACTTACTTTTAATGACTGACAAACAAATTGAAAAGCTAGATTTGTATAAGTTGGGATACCTGAGCAAAATGTCAACCAAAGTCAACCTAAGCCTAAAGTTTCACTGATTTGGATAAAGGACTTGAATACGCTGCTCTCTGTTGTGAGCCCGTGCTGTAAATATAGTGAATGTGAGGAACAATCAATCTTAAAAAACCAAAGAGATAAAACACTATGAGCCTTTTATAAAACTTGAAGAGTTACATTTTTAATATAGCCATTGTTGTCATCTTCTAACTTATAAATTTTTTTGTCACATGTATCTCATGCTTTTTGTAAAACTATTGATTACATTATTGAGATTGAAGCAACCATATTGCTATGCTAAAAATGTAATGTGTTATAGGCTGTAAACAAGCAACTCGGTAACTTCTGAAATAATTTTGTGCACTAGCTTTAACTAAGAAAATAAAAACTCTAGTGCACAAAAGACAGTGATTGAAGATGCTTTCACATTTCATGTGTTGCATCTTAGTCGCCACTTAATGGTCGCTTTCTGTGACAATGAGAGAGAATTTTCTTATTGTTGTTCTTTCTTTAAACTCTCTGCTGTATTTGAAAAACAGCTGGATACATGAATCAGATATACATTAGATAGTAGAAATACCAGAAACAATGAATCCAGCACATGTCTGCCAAAGCAGTAAATATATGTGTTTTGTGTGCTTCTTTTTGAAGTATGCGAGTAGTTAAAACGATTTTAGGACTATTACACTGATCCCTGTTTGGGTAGAACTTCTTCCAATTTTAATTTGATTCCTCCAGTAAAGGAGCATGATGGATCCTACTGGATTTTGAACTGATCATCCCTTAAGAAAATTTCTGGTAACTATAATATATTTTGTTTAATTTATCATCTATCATCAATATATATTCTTATGCAAAATGATATCCATGAAGTTATTGAGCTAAGCCAGAGCGAAAGTGCCAGCGACCACAGCTACAGGATTCTTTTGGTGGCACAGCCCAGAAAACCCCTGACTAATTCAGGACTTAACCAGAATAAAATATATGACCTATTAGTTAAATGTCAAATCCTTTAAAAACTAAAATATTAATTAGAATAATAAAAATCTTGCATTTTAGTTTTTGCAGACTCTATATGAGCATAATTATCTCTCCAGAACAGGATAAATTTTTTTGCTTGGTATAGGAGCCAGAACACAAAAAAAAATGGAGCCAATGAGGCTGGATATTTGTCTTTCACATGTTACAAATTACTATAGCTTCAGATTTTCTAGAACTCCAAAGTTTTGTGTTAAGGTCCAGAATCCCAATGAGTTTAGATTTGGACTAGCCTGACACTGGAAAACTTCATTTCTCTTTACAGAATGCTAGACTTCTGGTCTTTCCTACCGCCCCTCAAAAAGTTAGAACATGTATTGCCGTTGCTAGTTGATTGGGAGATCAGAGTGAAGGTTGTAATTAAAAAAAAAAACAACAAAACTCAACCAAACCAACCAACCAAAAACCAGCTCCACAACAGTCACAGAACAATCAGACATCTCTAAAGTTTGTATTGGCAAGAGTTATAATTTTAAGATATAACTTGAAAAAAATATATAAACAGATTTGTATGTCAGGATTGCCTACAACAGCTTGGGGCTATCTCAGGTATCCACGTGATTTCTTGCTCTCCTTTTTTTCTTGGCAGAGAGCCTGAAAGTCATCTCTCTACACACTGTAACAATGAATGACGTCCTACGAAAAAACTCTAAAAAGAATTTGGCTTTTTTTGTTTTTCTAAATGTCCAGAAGGATTCTGATCAGTTTGAATAAGGCAATCTCTGTGAGCTATGAAGTCTGCAGTTTACATGGGAAAAAGGAGTTTCCTGTTCAATCATGTGAACATCATCTCTTCCTACAGCACAGTGGAACTCCACTCACTGTTTATTATTTTCATACAGCTATCTGCAGTGTTGAATGCTGTGTAAAAAGTAAGGATCAGTAGTTCCCAACTGAAGGTCTGTGAATAGTTGTGTGGAAATCAATTAAGAAGCCCTTCCTGATGGCTTTTGCTGTAGCTCATTGAGTTGTTTGGAAACGATAATTTAACTCAATGTGCAGGAAAACTTGATTAAAAATAGTGAAATTAGAATGTAGTTTTAATATGCTTTTTCCATACGATTGCTGGTCTATTCTTATTTCTTCTTAGGGGGTAATATACCTTTTTATCTATTGGGTTTTGTTCAAAATTTGCTTTTTCTCAGTGTTTAGATACATAATCTATTTAACAGATCATTTTGAGATCATGAAATCATTTGGACTTAACTTGAAAGGAATTGATAATGTGATGTTAAAGAAAGTTTAGAAGAAACTTCAGTGGGTAAAGCCAGTCTCGTTCAGATTGGTTCACATTTATAGACTTTAATTATCAGTTTGGAATTTGTAATATTGCCTGAATTTAAGATGGGTGAGAATTAACACTGTACTGAGGGAGCCTAGACAAAAGGACATTAGTTGTGTCATGGAAACTTATTAAATGCAATGCTAATTCAACAGACGGATTCCTGCAAACAGGTGCACGATCCGAATTAATTTTTAAACTCTCCCACTCTCATACACTCTGGGGACTTTAACAGTTCATGTTGACAGGCACTGCACGTTGCTAATTTCATTCACAAGCTTTAAAATTTCAATACATTTCAACAAGTGAATCTATTAGATTTTTAAAAGTGTAAGTAGCATCAGGGCATCCCAAAACTAAAAATTATAATTTCTCTCACTGGGATTTCAAACTAGTCATCTAGCCAGAAGCGTGGTGTTTTTATGAATGAAATTCATTTTACAGGCTTCCCATACAGATTTTTTTATATTTTTGTACATTGTACAGCCTGTTACCAAGAAAGATTTTCTTTTAGTGTCATGGTAATTGGAGGGGGCTGGGTGAGAGATTTTTTGCCTTGGCGGAAAGCACAAATAGGTTTTTATTTAACTATAGTAGAGGACTGAGTGGGGTAGGAAAAATTTTCACCCCTGGAACATAGATCAAAATTTACTGCCTTTACTAAAAAGATAAAGGCCAATGTGACAGAAATCACCACAGACTACATTTATTAGTTAATCCCAGTCTCTCAAGGCAGACCAATAAACCCTTGACCTTGGAAATGGTTTGATTTTCATTTTAGTTTGGGGGGGTTTGGTTGCATAAAGCTGCAAAGTGACTACATTTCTTTACCAATTTCCTGAATATTAGTATTCTGTACCATTATATATGACTGGCAGTGCTGTTTGTGCATGTTCAGCTGAGGCATGTAAGGTTGTATTACACTTACAGAATATATCTGGGTTTTAATTTATTTTTCTTGAGTGTGTGATAAATTAATTCATAGTAATAAATTAATGTCACAGTTAATCATCATGCAAGATTATTGTAGAAAGACACTGCACTCACCAACCATGGCAGGACAAATGCAAAAACCTTCCTAAGAGCTGTTAGTGTCTTGGTCATGCTGGTAGCCTGAGTATCTCATTTCTTTTGTTTATCAATTCATTATTGCAATTGCAAAATAGCAGAGTTCATGATCAGACTACTAAAAATCTGTCCTAGTATCACCATGTCATGTCTATTTAGATTCTTACAAAACCAGTTTTGAAGTAGATCTTTATAATATCCTTGTTCGTTCACATAAGTAAAAGATATTTTGGTGTTACTTTTTGGTATTTCACTAAAATTCCAGTGAGATTGGCTGTGGAAATTTAAACAAAAGATCTGATTCTAGGCTTCTATTTTTATGGTTAGGTCCCAATCAAGAAACACCTAATTTAGTACCTAAATTACATGATGTACTATTGTGGGTTGGCTTCATTTTTATCTGTGGTACTTTTGGAAGCTGGAATACTCTTAGAATATCGGAAATGGATCATCCCCAGAAAACTAGCAGTATTTTTAGAAAATACTTAGGCTGCTAAAATACTTAAGGTTGCAATACTTAGGCTGCTAAAATATGATAGTTAAAAATTCTGGATCTGCTTTGTGAGGTGAACACCAACTCTGGGTACTAACAGCCCAAAATTGAAAGTATAAAACTGATGCTCTTCGAGTGACAGCTGTAAATTTTTCAGCAAGTGTCAGGAGAAAGGAGTACTACAAAAAGCCTGTAACAGAGCAATACAGGTAGAATTAAAAAAAAAATGAAAAAAACCCCCAAAACCCCACCATTTTCTAACCTGCTAGCTTGTTCGTAGCTACTATTTTGTAAGGGAACAGTGGTTTTTCATTCCACTTACAACTATTTTCAGTAAAATGAACATGGCAGCAGTGGGCTTGGTGTTGGAAAGGGGAAGGGAAGAGTGAGATATGTTTTCAATGGTTTTAAATGTAGACTTAGAAAAAAGGATAGATTTGTTGTGTGAGATCTTTTTCAAAACCAGTATTTTCTGATTCAAGAGACCATGGCTTCTGTAATTGAATTAAAAAATTACCCAGGTGTCTGATGTGTCAACTTCAAATTCTGTTGAAGAAAAATGCTGTTATGACTGAAACCTAAGACAGGTCCTAGGGAGAATATGAAGCTAGTCACTTAGTGCATGCTATGGAAACAGGCATGTCCTGGGGTATTTTTTGGATACCTTACATGCTGCTTTGAAACCCTGCTGTTTCATTTAATAACTATTCCAGAGTTCTGAGCTTGCTACTACTGTTTGTAGCTGTTAGTTGACCATTTAAAGAAAATGGTTTATTTTGCTCAGCACAGCATTCCTTTATGTTATGCATTAAGAGACGGTTTTCTTCACACACAAATGGCAGTCAATGGCTGTTCTTAGGATTCCATTTTCAAATAATCTATTTTTAGGTAAGTAAAGAAATATGGAAACAGATACTGTGCCAGGTAGTACAAGCTTGGTGTCAGTTGGTTTCCTGGGATGTCTTACCTTCATCAATTTTGAGTTCTCCTTTAGTTCAGCTCTTTCATCACAACAGGCTTTGTGACTCCTACAATGAGGATATATATTCTTTTATTTATAGAAAGTATAGAACGTGGTGTTCTCAAAGACAGAAATTATATTAGCTAGCTAGTGTAACTTTTTCTAGAGTTTGTAAGTGATGGATGAGCCTAGTTTCCACAGGTTAAATCTATTTACTCTGTTTTGTGAAACGGAGTTTAAAGCCACAAATCCTGTTCAGTAGTTTGTGTTGGGAGCAGGTGATCCTGTGGCCACTTTCTGTCTCTAAGGATTCAGACAATAGGAACAGGAAACAGCCCTGGCTGTGGTCAGTTTCTTCAGTAAATTCAGGCGCTCTTAGCATTAGAGTCAGAAGAGGTAGGGAACTGGAAAAATTGAGTATGCAGAAATGCTTCTTGGATACATCACATACATGATAATGACTTAGTTAATAATGATTGAATTTTTAATCCCGTTATTGGCCTCTCCCTTTCCTGAACACTGATGATCACTTGTGTGTTTGTGATGCCAAACACTTACATTTCCTGACATAAGTAAAATCTAGTAACTTGTTTCAGAGGTACCATGTTGTCTTCTTTTACTCCACTACATAGAATATCAATTACTTAATTATGAACTGCATTTACTTCAAACCCATTGCTTTATAATACTGTAGTTTAGCACTGGCATGGAATTGAGGCATTTTAATACATACATACCAGCTGTTTGCCTTATCTTCAATGGGCCCTCTTGTTTGGAAAAATAATTCTTTCCAGTTATGCGCTAGCATTATTCATTCAATTTATCTTCACCAGACTCCTGCGCTCACTTACATAATAGATTATAAGTTTACTCAGGTTTCACAGATCTTGTAAGACTCTTGCACTTTAGTCCCTTTGATCCATCAAATCTGGCTTCTCTAGCTTTTTGCTCTATACTCAGATAATGAAGATTCAAGCCTAAAGTACATTAAATAATGATATATTTTAAAAGTTTATCTCAAAATGCCAGTCTCTACAGAGACTGGTATAACCCATAAAAATTTTGGAGAAAGGAAGGGGAAGTTTTGTGCATCTAGTCAAAATTATTTAATTTGGTAATTTTTGTCCAACAGACTAATGCCTTGACACGTTTTGCTGTATAGGCATGTGAAAAAGCAAGTCATCTGCATTTTCTAAATTTCTCAAGGTATTTTTGTGAATACCTGAAGAAACACGGGGCTAGTGGTCAACAATTTTTATCCCCAGACAGGGATGCCTCTTTTAAGCTTTAAGTAATTCTTTGAAATATATTCATCACCAGCTAGACATTGTCTTCATCCTACCTCTGCCTGTGAAGAAATGCAGAATTATCTAGAAGCAACAGTTAAAATTGTGTGTCCATCATATTTTTTTTTCCTTAAAAGCATAAAACAAACCACCACAAATATTGAGTTGACATTGACTATACTGAGCTGTAGAGTGTATGACTTATCTAGCCCATCTTCATTTTTTTCCCTATTTTGGTTTCAGCCATCATTCTGCATTTTAATTTTGTGAAGCAGTTCAGGAAGGAATTTCTATGAAAGATTGTAGGAAAAAAAAAAAAACAAAAACCAACCACCCAACTGCAAGCCAGATCAGTTTCATGGGGTTTAAATTCAGAACTGTGAATTGAAAGCAAAAAAACCCCATTTATTGTAAAGAAGGAAGTTCACCATTCAGGGTTCAGATGTAAGTATGGTTTCCTTTAAAGACTTCATGCATGAGTGGATTAATGTCAGGGTAGCAATGTAGAAATAGTAAGATATTAACATACACATTTTAAAATTCGACAGGTGCTTTTCCAGCATCAGCACTGTATGCACGAAAAGACTTGCTTCAGAGACCTACACATGTTGCTACCAAAACTTTTCAAGGCCTGCGAATCTTTGTAAACAATGAGCTTCATGAACTCTTTATAGGGCTGAAGACAGCTGAGAAGTTTCTAAAACCTGGAGGCCGCCTTGTAGCCCTCTCCTTTCATTCACTAGAAGATCGTATTATCAAACGTTTTCTTCATGGAATAGACATGACAGAAAAGTACAATCTTGGCTCAAGGCAGAAGATAAGACAGGCTCTGAAAAATTGCTCCAAAGAAGATGTGCAAGAATTTCCCCAGGGAAAATCCAACTCCAAGTGGATTTTTATACAGAAAAAAGTTCTCACACCCCAGGACAAGGATATTCAAACAAACCCAAGAGGAAGGTCAGCCAAGTTAAGAGCTGCTATTAAAATCTAAAACAAAATATGTGACTATATAATTGTATAATTTCCTTAAATTTTGTTTTCCAGAGGGCTAACTGGACAGTATGAAACTGAAAAAAATAAAATGAAGGCTGTTAAAAAAAAAAAAAAAATCTTTCTTACCTTTGTGCTTTTTTTTAGTTAGGGTGTAGTATAGAGCAACAAAAGGTAAAATACATGTAGATAAGTGAGTGTCACTAATTATAAAAAAACCCACATCTTTTTAAAAAGAACATAAAACCCAACATTTATGAAAATTACAGGTTTGATGTGTTTACAGTATTTCTTTTAGATTAAATTCAAAATCCTGACATTAACAGTCTAAATTCAGTAGCTGATTGAGACAGAGAAGGTTTTATGGGGGTGGATTTTCACAGACCTAAGTCAGATGGTTGGTTTAGTCTACAGTAAGTTTAAACTAACCTAAGAATTCATTATATATAAATCTCTATCTCAACTGATTTGTTGTATGAATCCCTATCGGGCAAGAGCCACTTCTTAAATAAATTTATATCAGTATCTAATCAATTCTATCCAAGAATTTGTAAATGGGCTCTTACCTTTTTACAAAATAAGTGAATATTTACATCTGAGTGATGACCTGGTTATTTAATGTTAATAAATTCTAAATAATAAATGTATCTTGGGGAAAAAAAGATTCTTAAAAGACCACTGTTTGCACTTGGACACTACAAGCAGCAAGCAAGCAGTCAGAAGATGTGTACTTGATCATTTGAATTTCTTGCTGTGACCCTAACTGCTGTGCATAGATCCAGTACAACTTTTATGTGTTGATGGAGTTATAGTTAACCCATCAAAAAAGGGCTGCTGTGGGTCTTATGAAGTATTCTCCTTTGAGGGTGATGATTCATTAAGAGATGCTACTTAGGTAAGTATTGAATTATTTTATAAAAGGCTCATGGTAACACCAGTTTCCTATTTGGATGGGTATTAAACCAAGTAACGTAATTTATTTTTTAGTAGGTTAATATAAATGATCATATTAATATCTTAAGACCATTATTTTGCTGCCTGTGTTAAAAATGATCAGAAAATAGTTTAAGCTTGAACTTTTTTGACCTCTGACTCATCTTTTCAGGAAATAAAGTCCTTATTTGGATAATCAAATCAGTAGCAGGATTTTATTTGTAATGGACCTGCAACTTGGCTAGTAGAATAAAAAATGCAATTTCTGACTAAGCGCTAAATGGTTACTACACTAGTTTCTGAAACAGAACTGACTAGATCATTCCGAACTTGATTTTCATCAAGCATCCTCTTTATTTTGATGTGTTTACTTCATGGGAGTTTTTTGGGTCATATTGACACAAACAAGTTGAAATTTAGGTTGACTGTCTATAATATAAAATATATTGAAAAATCTGAATATTGTTTAATTCCTTGGTAATGCTTCGTCATGTAATGTGTTCTTAGCTACATACATAATAACATCCATCACGAATCTGGAATAAGTCGAATGATGATAGGCATGTCATACTTTTCTGAAATTTCAATGTTATTCCACTAGTGTCATTATACATGCTATTAAATATTAAATACAACATTCCACTTCAAATAATATTACTTACTGTTCACATCTCAGAGAAAACAGACTGTACCTTAAATAGACATTTTTTTCATCCAAACATTAAATATAAATAGCTAATGTTATTTTTAGCTAAGATTCCATACGGAAATGTACTCCAATTGCAGGTTGGAAAAATTGTGCCTCTGACACAGTCGTAGAAGAGTTGTAGTGCCGTGCTGTGCGCTGTTCAGGAACACACTTCAGTAAAAGACCATCCAGTTATAGCAGAAGTGTCTGTAGCTCAGAAATTTCATTAAAGCATTAGAATTCCTTATAGTTAAAACAATGTTTAAAATCCACACTTCTCACATCTAATTTCAAAGGCACAGTTTCTTATGATAGTTGAACTACTGTGTATCAGTTTTTGTAAATACACTCCCTCAACTGGGGCAAGTAAGAGCCTTTTCTTTGCCTTTTGATTGGAGTTGCACAGCCATGGCAGTGATCAGTCATTGAGCTCTTCTCTTTAGAGGCTCTGCTTCTCTCAGGGTCTTCTCACTTCCAGCTTTAAACTTGTAGTATGGAGAGTCCTGGAATCTTAACCTCTGCTTGCCTGAAAAGAGAATTTTCTGGTTTTCACAGAGCATAATTAGCTACATTTAGAGCCCATGAGGGCCTACCAACAATGATTACTTCCCTATTGCTTCCTAAAGAAAAATAATCCATTTCATTGTTTCAGAATGCAAAGGCTTAATTATATTGTTTTCAAGTAATATAAGGAATTAGTATCTCTTTCTTCGGGTGTTTTAAACTATTACAGTTAAGTAATTTCTCAGTAGTCTTCTATAGTCATGTCTGCTGACACTGCCACATGACTTGGATAAATCCCAGTCTGAAATATCAGCTTTTGTATGGATGTATTGAAGTATTTGATAGATGGAAGCTGGAAGGAGAGGACTCTCCTCCCCCTCTACTCTGCCCTGGTGAGGCCGCATCTGGAATATTGTGTCCAGTTCTGGGCCCCACAGTTCAAGAAGGACAGGGAACTGCTTGAGAGAGTCCAGCACAGAGCCACGAAGATGATGAAGGGAGTGGAGCATCTCCCTTATGAGGAAAGGCTGAGGGAGCTGGGTCTCTTTAGCTTGCAGGAGACTGAGGGGAGACCTAATTAATGTCTACAAATATGTTAAGGGCAAATGTCATGAGGATGGAGCCAGGCTCTTCTCAGTGATGCCCAACGATAGGACAAGGAGCAATGGGTGTGAGCTGGAACACAGGAGGTTCCACTTAAACTTGAGAAAAAACTTCTTTACGGTGAGGGTGGTGGAGCACTGGAACAGGCTGCCCAGGGAGGTTGTGGAGTCTTCTTCTCTGGAGACATTCAAGACCTGCCTGGACGCCTTCCTGTGTGATTTCGTTTAGGTTCCTGATTTGGGCAGGGGGATTGGACTGGGTGATCTTTTGAGGTCCCTTCCAATCCCTAATATTCTGTGATTCTATGATTCCTAATGTAGTATGGAAGGGGAAAATACCGACTTCAGCAAACACTGTTAGCAAGTATTGTATCTGACTTTTTGCCTGCTGCTTTCTAGAGTAGCATTTCTATGATTATTAATGAGTCATATAATTGCTCTAATATTACCCTTTGTATTGGAGAAAACATAGTATGAATTAATGCATTTATGCTCCTGGAAATAGTGTGACAGCACTATGCGGGTGGAAGCGTGAGGAACTGTGTCCCGAGGAAAGGTGGGATGACTGCAATAAGCAGTTTTAGACGCAGATTGTTGGTGATTTTATTTGATTAATTTAAATTTTATAACTTAGTTACCAATCTTGACTCATTGTTTGGAGTATCACTGTACAAAAGTAGTGATGAGAAATGAGAGGAATTTGAATAAACAGAGAAGTAATGAACTCGGAAGCCAATTTGTTGCTGCCCATCTTACTTAACATCTTTACCTCTAGCAAGAGTAATAAAGTGTTCAGACCTGCTTTTCTTGTGCCCCACATCTCTCCAGGAAGGGCCCATCAGTAGGATTAAGACCATTTACACCAGGATTACAAACACCGTTCAGTGGAGTATGGGAATCTGTCTTTATATCCATACATTTTTTTTTCCATATAATAGTTGCTTAAAACTAATTTTTTAGTTTTTTCAGACTGTAACTTTGAATATTACGCCATTATATTTGTAAGTCAGAAGTATAATCAAATGTGGAGGCTTTTTTACACCTGAGGTATATTGGAATTAAAGCAGGATTTTGTAGATTAATGAAGACTGCAGTGCTACAGTGAATCTTGCAAATAATTTCAATGAATGTAGAAAACCGTCTTCCCTTTCCCTTCTCCCAGCCTCTGTGGAAGACAGAAGAGAAAAATAGATTTAATCTTAAAGTAAGAAATAAGCAGTAAATTTGAACACCTTAGAAAAAAAATGTGGTTTAAGAGATTGCCATCCAATTTTGTTGTTTCATGTATAGTGTTCTGTTACTTTTTCTGTTTGTTGCCTAATTTCACCTGTTTTGGGATAAGCAGTAGCAGTGAGATAGCTCTATCTCTATACAAAGAATGGTTTCTAGTGGATAATCAAAGGTAATAGCAGGAAGGTGTATATGCTTCTAAATCCAGCTCTGTATATTTTTCCCTCTGTCTCCTTTGCAGTCAGAATTGTGTTTACCTTTCTGAATCCTCTGTAGGTTTATCCCAGGATGAATGAGAAGCAACTTCTTTTTTTTTTTTTTTTTTTTTTTCAGAAAAGTATAATACCTGTCCATCCAACTTTATTAAAATTAATGCTATTCAATACTTTTCTTTTTGCATATTTTACTGATGACATGCCATGTTTTTCAATATTGCTATGGCATTACTAAGACAGGAAAAGGAGCAAATATTTGCTGATGGGAAATCTAAACTAAAAAATCAGAGCAAGTAACTGATTGCCTGAATGTCTGACCATACTGACATAGCTGTGTTTATAAAAAATAAAACTTTTTCTTTGTACCTTGATCTTTAGGCAAATTATATTTTTCCTGATGCTTTTCAAGCCTGATTTGATTGGTTGTAATAGTTAAAAACAAGCTGGAGTTTTTTAAACTTTATGTTTGCAAATTTAGAGGACACCTTGTTTATAGCTGTCTCTTTAAAGAGTAAAACTGGAGATACAGCTCCCTCTATCTGTCCTGGGAATACCTATGCTTTGTTCTTTTTGGATTGCACCTGCAAATGATTATAGTAATAGCATGTGCATTGTCAACATGAAGGTAACAGGTAAAAACATGTGGATAACTTCTTTTAAAAGTCAGTAGTTCTTTTAAATTATGCTAACTGGAATTTTAAAAGAACGAAGGATGAGTCGTTTTCTTATCTGAAAATGCTTCAGTCAAGATACCTAACTCAAAAGACAGAAAAATGTACTTCCTCAGTACGGTTCTCAAACATATATTATTAGAATAAAATATACATGT